CAAATACAGGAAACCAGCAAGGGAGGCAGTGGGGCCCTTGGATGACCAAGGGGTAAAAGGAGTACTGAAGGATGATAGGGTAATAGCTGAGAAGCTAAATGCATTTTTTGCCTCTGTCTTCACTGTGGAAAATGAGAAGTGCTTGCCCACTCCAGAACCGCTGATTTCGGGAGGGGTGTTGAAAGACCTGAGCCAGATTGAGGTGACGAGAGAGGAGGTCCTAAAACGGATAGACAACTTAAAAACTGATAAATCACCAGGCCCAGATGGCATACATCCGAGAGTTCTGAAAGAACTCATATGTGAACTTGTGGATCTCCTGAAAAAATATGTAATCTTTCATTAAAATCTGCCTCCATTCCTGAGGACTGGAAGGTAGCTAATGTCACTCCCATCTTTAAAAAGGGTTCCAGAGGAGATCCGGGAAATTACAGGCCAGTCAGTCTGACGTCGATACTGAGTAAATTGGTGGAAACCATTATTAAGGAAAGAATTAGTAGGCACATAGATGAACAAAACCTATTGAGGCAGCCTCAGCATGGGTTCTGTAAGGGAACATCTTGTCTCACTAACCTGTTCGTGTTCTTTGAGGGGGTGAACAAACATGTGGACAACGGGGATCCAATAGATATTGTTTACCTTGACTTCCAGAAAGCTTTTGATAAAGTTCCTCATCAAAGGCTCCTAAGTAAGCTCAAAAATAATGAGATAAAAGGACAAGTCCTTTTATGGATCAAAAACTGGCTAATTAATAGAAAACAGAGTGAGTATAAATGCAGAGGTATTTTGCAGGGAAATGTCGCTAAAGGAGATATACACATCAAAGAGACAAAGGAGCTTTCAGAGAAAGAAGATCTCTGTATTTGGACATGCTGGAATGCTAACTCTGATACTTGGGGGGGGGAGCAGATTGTACGTAGAAAAGACAGATGGTTTGTTTCCACAACCTCCAAGGTCCATACCTTTGGCAGGCTCCCATGATCATACGTGTGTCCCCTTCAGGACTACCCACAGACTCAGGAACAATGCTTTAGGGGACCTGCAGTAGTTTAGAGGTGAGGTTGCCTATAAATGCAAGTGTAACAGGCTTCCCTTTGATGCAGGGTATATCGGTGGGGATCACAATTGTTCAGGAGCTTTATCAGTCAAATACTATGCTTCAATTCGCTCCTGGAAACAAGCTGGAAGTGTGTATGAGAGCTGGTACAGCAGTTAGAGCACTAGACAAATCCTCGCTCAGTGTTGAGGCCCATGTACAGAGCTCCTCAAGGTATTTTTTAATCACTTACCAAGCACACAGGATCCAGATTCAGCTCAAGAGCCAGTGGTGTGAGGGCTTGTGGTTCAAGCCTTCCCCCTGTCATTTCTCCCACTCTAAAATGGCCCTATGGGGTGACTGACCTTTGCCCTGTTTAGAAAGCTTTGATCATGGCCCCATGAGGCCAGTCAGCAAATTCCCTAAAAATGGTAGCTTCATACTCAGAACTACAGTGTGTCATCTGGATAGGGCCTTCCTCTCAGCCTAACCTAACCTTATAGGGCTGCTGTATGGGAGAAAATGGTGAGGATATATAAACCATCTTGAGCGCCACAGAGGAAAGACAGGATAAAAGTGTCATCTATAGCTCTTAAAAGTTGAGTCCAGTAGCACCTTTAAGACCAACAAAGTTTTATTCTGTGTATAAGCTTGGGATGCATCCAACTGGTATACCAACAGAAGCTAGTGAAAAGATGCTTTGAGAAATGAAAGCAATTCTGACCTCTAAAGGTAACAGTAGGTCCGAAAGCACCCCAATCTATAAATTTGGTCCAAATGGGAGTGCCTTCCCATGTAGCATAGGCTGCAAAACTATCATGGTTCAACAAGGCCCACACGAACAGTAGTTCCAGATCTTTGTTAATAATCCTCATCCAGCCTACCACCAACTCCAGACACCTACACAGAAGTTCCCCTGCTCCATCAGATGCCAATGAAAAGGGGAAATAGTGGCATCATCAGCACATCAAACAATCCCAAATCCCAGGATGATAGGGTGGCCAGTGGTTTCATGTAGATGTTAAATGCCATCATTGGTAGTGGACAAAGGCCTCTAGCACCACCTTCTGGAACCTATCCTCTAGGTAGAAGAACCACCTCCAGAGTGTGGCACTTCTCAACCCCCAGTTCAGATGGATGTTCTGAAGGGATAGCGAGACTACAGTAACAAAAGCCATTAACATGTCCAAAAGAATCAACAAGTCAGCTCTGTCCCCATATCTTTCACAGTTCTGCAGCCTGGGCCTGCAAAACAGAGCTGTTCCACTAGGCCTATGGCTGAGGCCCTTAAAAGAGAAGAATTAAAAACTCTCTCTGATGGGCCCTCAGTTGTCTTCCTTTCAGGCCTTTCCCCAGCACTGGCATGACCAAGTTCTTTTCCTGATGAACAGTAATTTTATTATTGTAATTGTATGCTAACTATAGTTGTGATTAGTAATCTAAAACTGAGTATTTAAAATTGGTAAAATTGCTTTAATTAACATGGTTGTAATACGTAATATGATTGTAATATGAGACCTGAGTGTGCCGCATGACGGAGTGAGCTCCAGTCTCTAGTTCAAGCTCCTGCCAACATAGCAGATCGAAAGCAAGAAACTGCAAGTAGATAAATACGTACCACTTCAGTGAGAAGGTAACAGCATTCCGTGCGCCTTGGGTGTTTAGTCATGCCGGCCACATGACCACGGAAATGTCTTCGGGCAGCGCTGGCTCTTCGGCTTTGAAACGGAGATGAGCACCGCAACCCTAGAGTCGGACTCGACTGGCTTTCGAGCAAGGGAACCTTTACCTTTTTAATATGTTGTTACTCACCCTGAGGCCTGCACTAGCAGGGGAGGGAGAATCAGAAACTGAACTAATAAATGAATAAATAAAAATAAATAAGTATGCAGGGAATGGAGGACACATTCGTAAGAGCAATGCACACTTCAGCCCTAGTATTGTAGAGATTCCAGGACTTTTATTCACATGAGCTTAGCCACTGTAACAGGGCACAATTTTCTTTACAGTTTGGACTTCTTTAAAAAAAAAACACTCCTTATATACAAGTTCCATACCTTGAGAAGCAGGGGGAGCGTATGGAAGTAATAAGGGACATAGGCAGTATTGATTGCAAGAAAGTAAAGGGCTCATGGAAAAAGTTTTCCAGAGACCAAGACAGGAGGGGTATGGTGAAGTTGGCATCATTAGACTGTGACACACAAGAAGTCTGGACAAACCCAGAGTTGGGCAGTAGCAGGAATTGGACAGAGACTGAAATCCTGATTGTAACTTATCAGCAAAATCTTCACTGCTAGGTCACTAAATCCTCTGAAACAAACCAGAAACCAGAAGCCTTATAAATAAATGTAATCTTTATTTTACCAAATATAATTTATCAGTTAAGTTGGCATTTGTCAATTCAGTTATAGCAACTATAAATAAGAATTCTCTTAATAGAAGTGTAAACCAATCATTTTCACTTTCAGCCAGATCAAAATACACATGCATTTGAGTGCAACTGGTGAGAATAAAATTATTCTATAGGAAATTCTGTTTGAACACCCCATTCTTACCCCAATCCCAACCCCACTGCAGACAAAAAAAAATAGGGATATCACCCAAGCAGCTCTAAGCACTCAGTTGCTGAACCTTGAGCTAAATCTTCTGACTAATACCACGAGAGTTAAACACTTTCATGAGATGCACAGACATTAACTAGGGAAAGAACAATAATGTGACAAAACACTTGCATGAAATTCCATGTAGATACCATGAGCTTGTGTGTCAGGCGGTCAAAATTTAAGATGCATCCAGCACAAGCTGGTGAGAAAAAGCTCATTTTAGAAATTCAGGAGGCCATGGGATGAAAGTCTCAAGTCCTCATGAATTCAGACAGAATGTTGCAAGTTATTTTGTGAAGGTCCATTCTAGACCAAAACCTCTAAATACTTTCAAGGTTCTTGTGGCTGAAGGAGCTCTTCAACTATTCTTGAGGATTAAACTTCAGCAGTTAGTGTCAGAAGTAAGGGAACCCTGACATCATCATCCACATTACTGTTGTCATCTTGCAATGGAAGGATTGTCCTATAGACACCCTTAGCATAGTGGTCCCACAGATTTCCTCTTCAGGGCATATTAAGCAAAACCCGCAATGCACAGACCACAATGTAAAAAAGGTCTATAGCATTAGTAGGAATACTCTGAAGCAATCCCAGTTCAAGCATTACAGCCACAGTGGTCCAAGTGAGCCATTGCTATGTCACTTAGGTACCAACTGCCTTCCAGTGCTATTGTTTTGATCATGCTTTCAGAATTTGAACAATACTGCCAAAGGCTTGAATCCTACACCCATAATGCATGGGAAATCCTTTTTATGACCCATCTGGTACTGAGGCTGAACCAAGGTGCTTATTGCTGGCAACAGCGTCCTTAATCGATCAAGGTAGGGCCAGCCAACCTTCTGAAAGCAATATCCAATTAATAAGAAATCGTATTAGGGCCTGTTCAGAGTTGCTAATCAAATCACCCCCTCTCTTCACCTTTATTTGGGAAAGAACCACATACATAATATGTCACCACTCATGCAAAAGCAGGAAAGAGGAACTAATTGTACAGCTGGAAAATATAGTAAGCCTTACAAAAGACGGGCATGACTTACAATTAAAATTCCAGCAATTTTAGAGTTACACCATTTAATCTAATACTGAAAAAATATCCAGCACCATAGACTTCCTGGCTACAAGGACATGGCTTTGAAGAACCCTTTATTACTATGGTGAATGAAAAGGATCGCCTTCATAAATTTCATGCAAGCAGGAGCAATTTAGGCTGTTTATACTAATGTGTACTGAACTGCTCACACAACTGTTCCATCTGCACAACCAGCACAGAGAATGGGAGTCAGAACTCTACAGATCAGTGTTCAACAAACAAGTTATACTAAAAAAAGGGGGGGGGGATCTCTTGCCAATGCAAGCAGATCTGTTTGACCCATTCTCCAAATTATGGGTGCCCTGGTGGCAGGTCACTTGCTGAAGAACACAGTGAACAAAACATCTGTTTAATCTAGATTCCCAATATTCAGACTTACTTAGGATATGAGACTTAAATAACAACATTTCCCCAATAAAGCATTGTGTCAGTTTTTGGCCAGTCAAATGCACTTCTATAGACATAAAATACAACAGGAGATCCAAAGTTCTCTCAGACCCGCTATAACATGTTAGTGTCAAAAACTGAAAGATGGCACAATGCAAAGGCAAGAAACATGGCCAGTACATGTCAGTATTTATGGAATAGCAGCTCAGAAGAGCAGGCACATATATTTATCAGGACACTGTAGTTACAGACCCCCCAGGGTTGACCTAACCTACTATACAAATCCTTAACTCACAAGTAAAGATCTTTCAACCATGAACATGTATGAAGGTCTTTACTACAAAAACAACTGCCTTATGGTATGCTAGGAATAATATAATAGATGCTACTCAGAGAGAAGCCAGACATCTAATGTATCTTGTATCAAGTTCCCTAGCTGTTGGGAGATGCAAAGCACTCTTAGTTCAGAGCGTAGGAACATGGCTCAGCACCAGAAAATTTAGACTTCTCTTAGTACCAGGCATCTATGATACCAACAGAGTGTCCTGGATTCCAATTAGTACAAAGCTTTGTAGATCATGTGGCCCATACACAGTGCAGTCAAGAAGGCAATATTTTAAAAAGCCAATAGGTGAGTAAGCACTCAGGGTACATGTTGCTGTGTAAAAAGGTAAAAATCGAACCTTTGAGAATGGAGATGAGCAGTTGGGAGATGGGCTGTACATCTATGGTACCAAAACCTCTATTAAAGGTTCATGTTTTCCAATGAGAAATGGCATGGAAAATGACATGGCCTCAGCCTTTTCAGGAGACTAGAATAGGATTATAATATATAAAATGGCAATACCTTGATTGGTGAATCTATGACCAGCATGAACAATGGCCAGTACTAAAGAGCTGAACTTTGGATAAACAAGCATTCTAGAGCTCAGCTTCCATGGTCTTATTAGCAGATTTGAAATGGTTGATGGTAGGAAGACATATTGCAGGTTAACTCAGCGTCCATTCAAGATCTCATTCATCAGCAAAGGGAAGAACATAATATACAGCAAACTCCAATTTTGCTATTTGCATGAAGGTCAGGCTTGTGGCCAAATCAGAGAGAATACTACTAGTGCAAACAAGCAAGCAGTGGATATGCAGTAAGTACGCAGTAACCACAAAACATTTAATCAGTTTCAGAACACAGTTGTTAGGTGAAGAACTTTTGCCCCAATTTTAATAACAAAATAAACTTGAATTGCATTTCAAACATTTAAAAAAACATAGACAAACAAGTGGCCCTTTACACTTAGTGTCCCATGTGGGTGAAGAATAAGGGAAGTGGGGGTTTCTTTAAAATCTGAATTGCTGATCCACTTTCTATTATATTCTATTCGTTTAGACATTAATTATGAAATTGCACTTGGTGATTGTCTTTACACTTTTTTGTTTTGCCCTTCTTAAAACTATTTTTTCCTGTACAAACTTGGCTTGAAATATAAACCACATAAAATTCCCATTGAAAATAATGAGAATCCAGTATCAAAGCTTAAAGTCTCAAAGAGAGACAAAGGGTGGCAGCAAGGCTTGGGGGAGGGGGGGGAATGTCACGGAAGGAGAAGAACTGGGAAGTGGAAAAAAGTCAAGGAAGGGTGCCTTTAATCCCCCACATCTGTGTCCCGGTCTCCAATGAGCCAGAGGATGTGGAAGCTGAGTGCCAAGAAACCTGTCCCAAGCAAGTCACCCAGCGCTGTCAGATAAGGAATTGAAAAGTTGTCCGGGTCCAGGCCTCTGCCCCACATCCAGTGGACCATCCAGTCAGCAATGTAGAGAAGAATGAAAACCTGGAAGACAAAAGCATAGTGGTCGCATTAGCCACAGGTCTAGGCATTACAGCAGATTTACTAAAAATGCATCTTCGGTATTTACATTTTATAAGCTATTCCTGTCTATGGCCAATTTCTGGTTTCACACAGAGACGTTATCCAGTCATACATAACTGGTCACCATACAATTTATTTGGGCTGGACACTAGTACTATTGCAGGGCAGTGGGACAGACAGACATGGAGGGTAAAATCCCCACTTCAAATGCTAGCAGGGGTGGCCAAACTTGCTTAACAGTAGAGCCACACAGAATAAACATCAGATGTTAGAGAGCCACAAGACATGAACAAATATTACACATGTGTTTTTTATTGGAAAATATGCAGATTTGCTTTTTTATTAACATTAAATGAGACTGCCAAAAATAAAAACAGAAGGGTAAAAACAGATAGATAATATTAAATTTATCCAATGATATTTAATTGTTTGCTAATGATATTTATTTGTCTGAGAGAAAGAGGTAGAAAGAAAGAATAAAATAGGTGGAGAGAGAGAGAAAGAAAGTAAATAGATGGGGGAGGGAGGGAGAAGGAAGTAAGAGAGGGAAAAGGGAGAAAAAGAGAAAGTAAGATGGAAAGAAAACAAATAGATGGAGAGGAACAAAGGGTAAATAGAAAGACAGAGAAAGTAAAACAAAGAAAGCAAAGATGGGAGAAGAAGGGGAAGGAAAAAAAGAGAAACAAAAAAGCTAATAGATGGAGATGGAGGAGAGAGAGGACGGAAGGAAGGAAGAGAGAAAGAGAAAGGTGGAAAGAATGAAATAGATGGAAAGGAGGGAGGGAGGGAGATGGGGAACAGAAACAAAGAAAGCAAATAGATGGGGGAGGGGGAAGAAAGAGAGAAAGAAACAAAGAAAGCAAATGGATGAAGGAGGGAAAAGAAGGAAGGAAGGAAGAAAGAAAGAAAGAAAGAAAGAAAGAAAGAAAGAAAGAAAGAAAGAAAGAAAGAAAGGTGAAAAGAAAGGTGGAAACAAAGTAAATAGATGGGGGAGAGAGGAAGGAAGGGGAAAAGACAGAGAGAGGTGGAAAGAAAACAAATAAATGGAGAGGGAGGGCGAGAGGAAGGGAAAGGTGGAAAGAAAGCTACTTTAACTTTAAATGTGTTCTCCAAGCCCCCTCCCACACCAGATGGTTTGGCTTGGAGAATGGATTTAAAGGGACAAATGCCTTCTCCAAGCTGGTGGGTGGGGGCTTGAAGAACGCCATTTTTAAATGTGTCCTCCAAGCCCCCCACCCTCACTGCCATGCCAGCTTGGTTTGGAGAAGGGATTTAAAGAGACAAATGCCTTCTCCGAGCCAAGCCAGCCGACCAGTGTGGCGGGGGGGGGCTTGGAGAACACATTTAACTTTAAATGGGGAGGGAGAGGAGAAAGAGAAAGAAAGGTGGAAGGAAGAGAGGGTGGGTGGAAAGAGGGTGGATGGAAAGAAAGTGGAAAGAAAGCAAATACATGGGGAGAGGAAGGGAGAGGTGGAAAGAAAGCAACTTTAACTTGAAATGTGTCTTCTAAGCCCTCCCCCCACCAGCTGGCTTGAAAAAGGGATTTAAAGAGACAAATGCCTTCCCCAAACCAGCTGAGGGGGAGCCTTTGAGGACACATTTAAGTTAAAAATGCTTTCTTTCTCTGCTCCCCCCCCCACCTCAAGCCTACCTAGGGAGGGGAACACTGGCTGGGGAAGGGAAGACTGATTGAGGAGTCATGCCTCTCCTTCATTTTCACAGCCGCCCTGCTGGGAGCTGCACGATATGTGTAAAAGAGCCGCATGCGGCTCCTGAGCCACAGTTTGGACTCCCCTGTTAAGAGTACACAATGGTAGCTAGTTAGTTCGTACACACCAGCTGCTCCTCCTGCCTGCCCCACTAAGGGTGTGGTCACATGGCAAGCTTACCGTGATTTGTTCCCGCTGTAGATTTGATCTGGAATTTTTTTTTCAGGTTGGGATGACCACACATCCCTCCCAGCCCCGTAGCTAGGGAATTCTTTGGGAGGGGGCCTTGGGGGGGCCTGCCAGCTAATTAAATGGAAGTACAGTGCAGGTGGTAAGTTGGAGCACTTTGGGGGCAGCCCTGGAGGGAGGGGGCCCAGAAGAAACACAAGGGGGCCGGGCCCCGTGGGCCCCATGTTAGCTACGGGCCTGATCCCTCCCTGAACCACTTGCATTGCACAACGAGGCTCCAGGCACCGTTCAGATAGCCGTGCCGCTGCTTGGGTGGCACGGTTGTTTTTTTAAAAAATTGGCTTTACGCATGGCTAAATCACACATGGCTAAATCACCGCTCCCACTGGGACTCGCCGTACTCCCTTGTTCTTATAGGTCTCCCCCCTAACAGCAAACAAAATTAACCGGCAACATACAACTGAGCATTGGAGTCTATATGTGCGCTTGAACGTTTATACATTGAATTTATTCGGTGCAGGATTGCTCATGTGCACAATGATGGAAGTTTGTAAAAAAAACATTGCGAGAAGGACGTTCAGATGACCTTATTGCGATCATTGCGAAAGATGGCTGTCCAGATCGGCGAAATCATGGATTCAAAGTGCAAATATCCGGAAAGTACTTGATTTCCCGGGTGTAGGAAAACCTGCTAGGGAACCAGGAGGATTGCGTGAGTGAGCCCACTTCGGTGCGGGAGACGGATGCAGCCATCTGATCAGCAATTTTAAATGCGAGAGGGAACAGCGGTGAAACTCAATCAAAATATGGAATTGTTTTATATGGTTTTAGCTGTATTTTATGGATTGACTGTGAGTCGCCCTGAGCCTGCATTGCGGGGAGGGCAGGGTATAAATATGATAAATTAATAAATAAAATTACTGTGTGACCACAGCCTAAATCTCTTCAACACATGAGCTTACCAATCAACACGGCAGGTGATCCACCTCAACAACAGCCACCTGCACAAACTGACCACTCACCCTGCTGATGTGATCCCTGCTTGCTGTTCCCTCCTCTTGTGGAGGGAAGGCAAGAGACAGACAGAAAGGTCACCCTAGAGAATCGAGAGAAGCCAAGGCAGCCACTGACTTCCTCATTCACTTTGAGGCTGCAGCTGTTGCCCGATAGCAGGAGTTTTGCCCTTCTGCAAATAGTGTCTGAGTGTATGGGTGTACATGCACACACAAAGTACTTCATTGACAGAGGCACTGTGCATAGTAAGCTTTCAGAAGAGGTTTACAGGAAGTTATTCAGCTCTCACTGCAGGCACCAGCTGCTAAGGGCTGTGACTGTCCCAGAGCCACAGTCTTTACTGAAACAGAACCTCTACTTTATGGACCTTTGACCACATTCTGAATGCTGCATCTTTGGAATGATAGCTGTGTTAGGGGAAACTCCCTGTACAGAGAACGTGGGAATGTTACATTTTAAGATGAGCTTTCCTGCTTCTTAAGTGCCTGTGAGCCTGTCAGGGGGCTGCAGCCTATATTTAGCATCTGCATTTCTCTTCATGATGATTCATTTCCACCAGCTTTAGTTCAGCTCCACCGCCACCCCGAAACACCTACTTCAACAAACATTGAGTGGGAAGTCAGAGTAGGTTGGAAGATCCCCTCCCACATTGTTAGCCCAAGAATTATGCAAAGCCCAGATCCCACAGAAGACAAGCTGAGAGTGATCAGCATCTCCATCATTCATTCTGCCCAACTTGTCAGTCTCTGTTGTGCTGGGTCAAGGGAGAGAGGAAAGTCAAATGAGACACTGACCACCTTGCCTTCCTGCAGGCAGGCTGATTAGTGCCATCCTGGAGGCATGCAACCTCCCTTGACAGACAGTTCAGATGAATTTTAGTTTCAGACGAAGCGACTAAAAAACCCCTAACCTCATTTTACAAGACATTCAACAGTCATTCTAAGTTATTAGAACCAGAAGTATCCAAACATCTGTTGCTCTTTTAATGGCAGTTTCATCTCTATTCACTTACAAAGCTGAGCAGCTCCAAACTATTTGTGTGTGTGTGGGGGAGAATTTAAACAAAGCGAACACTACACATAATTTGCAGGCTGAAATGGAACCTTAAATAGTACTTCAGATTGCATAATTTATTCTGCATTTAAAGCTACTATATGTAATTTATTCATGTTTTGCTAAATCTGAGGAAGATCACTGACTGATCACTGCTGAAGCTTAGAAAGTCCAGTTCTTAAGATAATTATCTGTTGGAAAGCTTATTTCTACCATTGTTTTGGATTCCAAGAGTTCTCCAAGTTATCTGCACAATTCCAAGCATATATTTGCAGCCATAAGGGCTAGACATTTCTTGTTAGAAAAAGTGTGCTGAGATTTTCAGGGGAAAAGTACATCGAATTTAGGAAAGTAAATTTCACCTTAGCCACTTAACAATCAACATAGGAAGACAGCATAGAAATAAATAGGATAACGAAAGAGCCAAGTGGAATGGTGTTTCTTTAAGCAAATGACAGAAAAGTACTGCAACTATTTTAAGTGCTTATTCTGCTTATTTGGAGGAAAACACCTAGAAAGTGCCTCGTTGTTTATACAAATATCTACTGGTGTTTGGACTAACCTGTAATGTTGAGTTGGAAATCCAGATGGCCTATAAGATGAAAAACTAGATTTTATAGCAGTATTACAACTGCAATGACTACAGTCTTCCAGCTTGGATTCCAGGATATCCTAAAGTCTCATTTAACTTTGCTTTCAGCTTTAAAGGTCTGGAAATTATTTAACTTATGTCTACTTCTTCTGCTGAATTCCTAACTAATGAGCATATTTTCCTTATAACTGCAGAAGGTTTGAAACATTCTGACTGCCAGTGTTAAGTAAAGAGGTGCCATTGCTTCAGTAACTGAGGAGTATCCTCACAAACCCTGCCTTCTGGGCCCTTCCCTTCAGAGGTGAGTTGGGTTGACAACTAGAGACAGAGCTTTTCCAGTACTGCCACATCTCTTGTGGAATGTCCTTTGACCTCACCTAGCAATTACATTGCTTTCTTTTAAG